CCGAGCCGCCCGGCAGCATCGGGAAGAGCGTGTCCTGCCCGGCGCACGGTGATGGCATTTCCCCGGGGCTTCCCCAGGGCTGGGCAGGGAGTTCCGGGGAAGCAGTGAGTGGCACTACATAGGCTTGGCGACTGAACTGCCCCCGGCTCCTAGGCGTAGTCCCTGTGGGGGCAGAGGGCAGCCTGGCTCTGCAGACGCAGAGGGGAGTCCAGTGTCAGCCCAGCACCTTCCACTGTCCCATTGTCCCTCTGCGAGGGAGGCACCGGCACCGTCGTGGCCACGCCGCCTGGTTAAAGGAGAAACGCCCGGGGCCAGGCAGCTTCCCTGCTGTTTCCAGCAGGAGAACCCCGTTCTGGCAGGAGGCGCGCTGCCCTCACAGCCTGGCAATGGGGTACGAAACCTTTCGTCCAGGCCGTCCCACCCAGGCAGACAGCAACCCGTTGATGGCTGTTTAGTGGCCTGAGTGTCATGAGTTCGCAGGCCTCAGAGCACAGCAAAGTGGGGATAGCGATGTGCTTTTGGGGTGTGGCCCCTTCACGCCACAAAGACCAAGCCCTGGTTGGGGTCCGGCCCCCGCTGCCACCCAGGGTGGGGGAAGCTGGGTGGGGGCGGGGTACAGCCCTGGGGGTCGTGGGCCTGTGGTCCCCAGGGCTCCGAACCCTGCACCTCTCACTGAAATTCATGCTCTGGATTTGCGGCCCAGGCCAGTGGCAGGGTCCGGCTTTGTGTGTGGCTTCGGGGCCTATCGCCCTGGGCTCTGCCTGGCCCCCCTTGGCGCTAGCTGGGGCTGCGTAATCCTCTGAAAACCGTAGCCCGCAAAGACTCCTCAGCGCCCCCGAACGGGGCAGCTCCCTGCCAGTCCCTGGCCAAGATCCCGCTCCCCTGACTGCGGGAAGCGGCTCGGCAGAGGGGACTTTGCGGCCGTGTTCCCAGCAGGGATGTGACTCTGCTCATCGGGCAGCGAGCTGGCTTCTGGGCAGCTGGCTTTTCCCTCCATGGGCACCCGCCCAGGGGCCTCT